ATGTAGCTATTTGGAGCACACCTACTGGGTTAGATACAGCCCAAAATACACCTGCTGGGTTCCCATAAGACGTACAGAACAAAAAAAATCATGTGCATCTTTTTATTTTTTTCATTTGGTAGAGTTATATACCCCACCTTTTCTCCAGGAGCCCAAAGGCAGTTATATTAACATTTCCACCTTCAGTTTTTTTTGCCTGCAGCAACTTGTGAGGTAGGCTGGGCTGCCAAAGAGGGACTGGCCCAAAGTCACCCAGCCGGCTTTCATGCTTAAGGCAGGACTAGAACTCACCGCCTCCTGCTTTCTAGCCTGGCATTTTCACCACTAGGCCAAATTGTCCATGGATTTGCCTTTCCATCTTCCAGTCCTAGTTTAACACCAGCATAGGCAGTTGTCCTGGCCCACACAGCAGCTTAAGACAATGGTTGTCCTTCCAAAACAGGCTAAACCACAAACTATCTAAACCCAATTTAGCCTAGATTACGCCTTGTGTATGGTGTGAACCCCAACCAAACAGACTGACTTGGAATCAGAGAACTGGGTGAAATAACTTCTAATTACTTCCTTTTCTAGGATTCTATCAAGGCCATGTTTTGGGGCCCAAACTGAGTTAAAAATTGGCAAGTTCTCATTAGTTTTGCCCCTGTCCATCCTGCCTCCTCCCACTGCACTTCTCCATTGAAAAGAAAGCCTCGACCGTTTGAGCTAAATAAATCTGAGTAAGAAGCAGAATGGAATAAATGGGATTTTAACATGATCCCCAACACTTTCCTTTTCCTTAAGAATCACCTTCATGGGGAGCTAAGAAGCCAGGGGAGTTTCTGAATTGTTTCTCCCAACATCAAATTTCTTAAGACTGTTTTCAAAACTTCTCCCCTGAAATATATTGATGAGAAGAGACTTTTCTTCCCCCGGAGAAAGTAGCCGTAGTTTAAGGAAATGAATTCATCCAGGAGAAAGGAAAGTGCCTTTGGATTTCAGGGCTGTGCTCACCCCCCACCCAAACCCTTCCCATAACAGGAAGTTTATATTTAGGGTGGCCCATCAAAGTAAAGAAATTTTAACTGCAGGCATCTTAGTGGGTTAATCAGTTAAATCTGCTCATATTTGCACACGAGAACAAATAATGAACAGCTTTCCCCTGGGAAGAATGAAAGCAGGGAAAAATGCTTGCTCTCATCAGGAGTAAGAACGGTTGCTCCAATGCACTCCGTTTCATCTTGGTTTCCCATGGCGGTGGGGTTTTCTCCCACTTGCTTGCTTCTTCCTTCGAGTTTGCAAGCTGTTTGCAACAGACTGCGAAGCAGAAACCACCTTTGGTTTGTCTGATCTTCTCCAAGAGAAGTAGAAATACTTCAGTCATTGTGCAAGGGTAGGATTTCCCCTTAGTGGAGAGAAAAACACTGCTGTTCTGAAAGGGCCCTAAACATCACACACACACTCTATCAAGATCTTCCCTTGGGACTGAATGGGGGTGTGGGAATCTCCGGACGATACAGATGGCTGGTACCGGTATGCTGCGTTCCCACATGCACGTATTAAACATTGCAAGAATGCCACCGTCTTCTCGTTTGAAAGACTTGGGAAGCCAATTCTCTTTGATCCCAGCTGATGTGAACTGGGAGGAAAAGCTGCCGAGTTTCTCAGCTGGGAACATCTGTAGAGCATCAGGAGATGACATTTCAAACATCGTGAGGAGGGGGGGGCGAGCTGACATTTATTGAATTTTGCATTGTGGTCCCAAGCCTGATTTATCTCCATCCTTCCTTTTGAACCATCCCTGCTTCCTAGAAGCAAAGCCGTGCTAATACATTACATTTCACTTTTGAAGTGGAGGAAGAGAAGTAGGTGTTTTCTGCATGTTGATGGACAGAGAGTTGCAGATTTTCAGAGGGGACCAGCCTGACTTAAAAATTCAGCAAAATATGCCGGTTGCAAATCTGCTTTAGCCAGTGCTCTTGTGGCCAAAATCAAGTTTAATTAGGATTAAATATACCCAGAGAAAAGTCAGTCTAAGAACAGAGACTTTTCTCCCCAATATCTAACTTTCACATTACACACTGCTTCTGGATTTTTCATTTATTTGCTAAGGCATTAGCCTCCACGTCATTGTTTTTCATCTCTTGTGTTTTTTTTAAATCCAAAAATCTATAGATGGATACTAGTTTTCTTAGCTCAAGCCAAATGGCATACAGTAAAAGAATATTCATGCTTTTGAATTTTCCAACCTCTAATGAAAGTTGTTAAAAAAAAAAATGGGGGGTGGGTGGAATGGGAAAGCAACAAATAATCATAATTAAAAAAAAAGATTTAACCATAAACCTCTCAGTTCTAAGTCAGTATTACAATGAAAATTTTACACCAAATGTAGAGGCTGGTGGTCCTGCAAATAGGTATCATGTCGTTCTTAGTTTTAGGGGACAAAGCCAATTCCTGCTACCCCGGTTCTGCAAATACAAAATATTTAGATACCTATCTAACTTCTAGGCTTGGCCAATGTTTTTGGCTTCTTTTGCCTACAGAGAGCAAAAAGAAACATGACAGTTAAGGCTGTGATCTTTTTAAAAAATCAAGTTTCTAGTCCTCATGACTGAAAGAGAGGTCTGTTCGAAAATAAGTGAGCTCCACCTGGAGAAACCATGGAAGATGTTTGCGAACCAGGTTGAGATGGGTCCCTGGCAGCGAATGAGATTCTCAGAGCCTTGGTTCAGCTCAGGATGGAGCACAATTGTGCAAAACAGTAGCACCAGCTGACTGTAAAATATGGCTGTCACCTTCCCCCCACCTGCTGGCTCCCAAAATAAAAAATTGCATTTTAACTGGCTCCGTTTTAGGCACTTTTCCCTAGCACTCATGCTGCTTCTTGAAGCGGCTTGCCTTCCCACTTGAGTTTTTAGAATTCCTTAAATAGTAAGCTAAAGGGAGGCTTTGCAGAGCCTGCTGGTAATATGTAGGCTAAAACCTCATCAGGAAAAATCACCAATGCCAGTTAGGGGCAAGAGTGCCCCACGTGGGACCGCAGAGCAGAGGAAGAGGAAAACAGCACAGCCTCGAGGCCGCAGAAGCCAAGGGTGGGTGGAGGAAGGAGAGAAGGGAAGGGAGGCAAAGAGGAAGTCCTCTTTTTGACCAGCCAGATAAAACGTCTTTAAAATACAGTAATATAAAGATATAGCTGGGCTTAGTCACTTGAGCAGAGGCTCTTGCGTAATCTTGGTGAAAACATTCTGAGCCACATGTTGGTTTGTGATGGGAGAAGACAGGTTCATCAGTTCCTGCAGGGGGGTATCTTGGGGGAGGGGGTCAAAAAAGTCAAGATGACAGCCCCAACTCTGTAAATCAAAGCCCCGTCTCCTTTTTAGGCGCACTGCAACGCATGTTTTAAAGAAAGGGATGGAGTTTTGATCACATGGTCATGGCTACCATCTTGAATTTTTGGACCCGTCCCACCCCTAAGACACCCTGGTTGCTTCGGATCTTCTGTGTGGAACTCCTGTGGTTGGGTTGAGAGGATACCCTGGTCCATGAACGAGCCAGCTCCATTTTAGCCTTGTTCAGGGGGTCTCTAAGACTGCAATATTGTGACACCCCCAGCTGATACAGCTACCCTCCTGATCGCTGTATTGGGGATTGGGCTGGGCAAGAAATGACTACACCCCACTTATTAAGAGTTCATGATAAACCATGATCTCTTTTAATAAGCGGGTTTAATTATTTTTAACAGCACTAAGAGTAGGTGGGTTGGATGTCAAACATGACTGATCTACCCATCAACTCTTTGTGCCATTAGAAAGAAGTCAAACGAAGAAACCACGATCTCTTTTAATAACAGCTTTTCCATTTTGAAAGGCCAGGCATTTACATCAGTGTCGTCCAAACTTGGCCACTTTAAGATGAGTGGACTTCAAC